CAAAGATTATGGTGATAAGAAGAAAAAACTTGATGCATTCACAAAATTTGACAGGAGCATTGCACAGTTGGCAATAGCTCCTTTCAAAATGTCACAATTAATGTGACCTTGGATGAAGAAGAGTATAAAGCTTAAATTGTGGCTGTTAATAAAGCATCATTAAAAAGTAGATTGATCAGTCACACCACAAAACTTAAGACTGTACAAAACTTTAATAAGACTGGTTGTGACCTATTCGTGTAAGACATGGGTATTAAATGAAGCAACAGTTAGGAAATTAGACATCTTCGAGCTTGTTGATAGACAATTTTAAGGATATTATAAAGACTTGTCTTGGGCCCAATAAAAGATAATGAAGAGTGGTACTGGAAGTTGGCACAGTTGCCATCTGGAAGAAATGAAAGCTAGTGGATGATGATGTGGAAGACAGAAAGATAGCCTAAGTGACAATTTGACGGTGAATGAACTCTCTCTGGGACAAGCTGGAGACTAGGCATGAGTGTTGAAACAGGTGTCTGTCGTGCCTTTAAAGAAGAAGAATACTAGAATTACTAATCACTAATACGTACTCACAAAAACAAAGGGAGAAGTGTCATCCATTCTGGAACATAAAAGACAAACAAACTGCATAACCTTACTAATTTGGCTTTCAAAGCTCTTTGTTTGTGTATATTTTTTAAATTTTATTATAACCCAAAATTGAACTTTCTACCACACTAAAGAACAATTTTTAAACAACTATACAGGACTACTTCCTCATTCAAGTTATTAAACAGTAAAACAGAAAATATAAAAAACTAACCCATGAAAATATAGGAGAAATGGCCTTTTTATCCAAGTCCTTAGTACTGTAAAGTGTAAACCAAAAGCATTACAACCGGATATTTCTTCTTAACTTTAATAATATTTAAAACAAAAATTAACATAAAAAAACACAGACAAAATCTTAAAACTGCTCATCAACTGAAGGCAAGGTAAAGATGACTGTAGAGTGTGTAGGTGGTGTGCCACCTACTGATAGGGGAATGTCCCTTCTATTCTATTCTACTATGTTCTATTAGTCTGTGGGCCAGACCCCCTTACCGTGCACCCCCCCCCACATCCCTATAAATTGCATATCGTTGTGTTCCTTGTAACAATTTATTAAAAAAAAAGCCAATGTTCCCACAAAAAAAAGTGAACGCACTGCCCCAAAATGGCGTCCAAAGATGGCGGATTGACGACTTTGACTTTAGTTAGTTTTTTGGTCACTGAGAATCAGCATTTGGCTTAATTTCCTCATAGTTGGTCTTTTATTAAAGCTGAATAGTTATAGAATAATAAAACATGAAGAAATATTAAAAAATAATTGGCTAAGGCTATGAAAAACACAAGTAAAGTCAATTTTTTTAACAAAAAAATTTTCAAGTGACAAATCAAGCGTCGATTGTAATTAAATGGCCTACAATAACGCAAAACGTGCTGAAATAAACCATCTGGAGAATATATTTCTCTTTCTGAAACGCTGATTATTTTTTACAAATGTTTAAGTAGTTCTGTAAAAAATGCACTTATGCGGCAGAAAAGCGGTACTGGCGTGGGTGTCAACAGGCCTCTACCACACCATTCAGTGCCCATAAATGGCTTAGTTATAGTGATATAATAACATTTTTGGTACATTATATTGGTTTTATTAACGAACAAATATTAATGCAATAATTTTATAGTAAAAAAAAAAAAAAAATTAAAATTAAAAAAAAAATGTATTATTTTTTTTTTAAATTTTAACCTCCTTTATTCTATACGTAGGTCGTTTAAGAATACCTCAATTGTAAAAATGATATAATTATAATAATAAAACTTAATTAAAAAATATTTTGCTAAATATCTTGATTTTTTTTATTTAACGTTTGCAATTTAACACTGTGTTTTGAATATTTACTGATTCTTAGAAGTAATTAAAATTTTTATATACTTCCCAGGAAATGAGTCATATTCATAACTTTTTTATAAACTAAAATAATATATACCTAATCTGAACTATATATAATGAATAGCTACCGGGTTGTTTAGTAAAACTCATATATCACTAATTAAAAAATTAATTTTTATTTCCTTTATTTTGTGCAGAAGTTGGACTATATCATAAATAAATAGGAAATTTTAATATTGAATGAATTATTCTCTATGCACAAAGAAAGATATAAAGGGTGACCCTATAAGTTCTTCTATAAACCAAAACTGATTGTTTGGATTTGATCTCAAAATGAGGAAAAACGTGAACTTAAACGAGAAAATCGGAAAAATACATTAAGCGAACGAGAAAGGAAGTGCCAAAACCTCGGAATAGATAAAAAGGACCAGTTATATCCATTATATAGCTAAATGAATGTATAGTTATATAGTAGATAGATGAACAGAATATTTCAAGATGCTGCTAAAACGGGATCAATTGCAGTTTGGATGATATTAAGTGGACGATGTAGGTTTATTATGGTGAAACCACTTTATTTTCGATTGCGGAAGGTGCACCTCGGGACTATATTAACTTTGAAGATGAATATAGAGATGTATATCGAGAAAGTTATAGCTCATAGCTTTCCTTCTGTTTAGTGGATTTTCAAAAGATTTTTTAAGGTATCTTATATTAGTTGTAGCTCGTTATTCTTCTCGTTATTCTTGAATTGTTCGGAATTGGTACCATATCATAAAAAATAGGAAATTTTAATATTGAATGTATTATTCTCTCTGCACAAAGAAAGATGGAAAGGGCGAAACCGAACTGCTTTGACAGTTTTGCGCTTACATAGGCAACAAGCATATTAGAAAATAATATGAAAGGACTGTGGTTTTTACCTTTACAAGAAAGGAGATACTAGGAAATGTAATACCCATCAAGACCCATTCCTGTTTAGTGTATCAAACAAATTATACACAAGAATCGTAGAAGCTGGAATAAGAAATATTGTCGATTGCCAGATTGATATGGATTGAGAAACTCAAGTTGCACATTGGAAGAGAAGTTGAAAATTGGGACTGTCTTCACTTTAAGGCAGGTTATAGAGAAGTCCACATAAAAAGAAAAATAGCTCTCTATCTGCTCAGTGCCTCACACTTTGGATTATGCTAATATCTAACTGTCTTTCAGAAAAACTCGTTTTCCTTTTAGATCCCTTAAAAAATCTTTTGAAAATCCACTAAACAGAAGGAAAGCCATGAGCTATAACTTTCTCGATATACATCTCTATATTCATCTTCAAAGTTAATATAGTCCCGAGGTGCACCTTCAGCAATCGAAAATAAAGTGGTTTCACCATAATAAACCTACATCGTCCACTTAATATCATCCAAACTGCAATTGATCCCTTTAGCAGCATCTTGAAATATTCTGTTCATCTATCTACTATATAACTATACATTCATTTAGCTATATAATGGATATAACTGGTCCTTTTTATCTATTCCGAGGTTTTGGCACTTCCTTTCTCGTTCGCTTAATGTATTTTTCCGATTTTCTCGTTTAAGTTCACGTTTTTCCTCATTTTGAGATCAAATCCAAACAATCAGTTTTGGTTTATAGAAGAACTTATAGGGTCACCCTTTATATCTTTCTTTGTGCATAGAGAATAATTCATTCAATATTAAAATTTCCTATTTATTTATGATATAGTCCAACTTCTGCACAAAATAAAGGAAATAAAAATTAATTTTTTAATTAGTGATATATGAGTTTTACTAAACAACCCGGTAGCTATTCATTATATATAGTTCAGATTAGGTATATATTATTTTAGTTTATAAAAAAGTTATGAATATGACTCATTTCCTGGGAAGTATATAAAAATTTTAATTACTTCTAAGAATCAGTAAATATTCAAAACACAGTGTTAAATTGCAAACGTTAAATAAAAAAAATCAAGATATTTAGCAAAATATTTTTTAATTAAGTTTTATTATTATAATTATATCATTTTTACAATTGAGGTATTCTTAAACGACCTACGTATAGAATAAAGGAGGTTAAAATTTAAAAAAAAAATAATACATTTTTTTTTTAATTTTAATTTTTTTTTTTTTTTACTATAAAATTATTGCATTAATATTTGTTCGTTAATAAAACCAATATAATGTACCAAAAATGTTATTATATCACTATAACTAAGCCATTTATGGGCACTGAATGGTGTGGTAGAGGCCTGTTGGCACCCACGCCAGTACCGCTTTTCTGCCGCATAAGTGCATTTTTTACAGAACTACTTAAACATTTGTAAAAAATAATCAGCGTTTCAGAAAGAGAAATATATTCTCCAGATGGTTTATTTCAGCACGTTTTGCGTTATTGTAGGCCATTTAATTACAATCGACGCTTGATTTGTAACTTGAAAATTTTTTTGTTAAAAAAATTGACTTTACTTGTGTTTTTCATAGCCTTAGCCAATTATTTTTTAATATTTCTTCATGTTTTATTATTCTATAACTATTCAGCTTTAATAAAAGACCAACTATGAGGAAATTAAGCTTAATGCTGATTCTCAGTGACCAAAAAACTAACTAAAGTCAAAGTCGTCAATCCGCCATCTTTGGACGCCATTTTGGGGCAGTGCGTTCACTTTTTTTTGTGGGAACATTGGCTTTTTTTTAATAAATTGTTACAAGGAACACAACGATATGCAATTTATAGGGATGTGGGGGGGGGGTGCACGGTAAGGGGGTCTGGCCCACCGTGTATATACCAAGGGTCTCCAAACTAACAAGTACTTCCAATCCGGCCCGCGAAAGTTTCTTTGATTACTAGGTAAATTTTTAAAAACTATTATAAAAAAATATTCAATTTAGCAAATTACTAGTACAATAGGTCACTACAATATTTTTTGCATGGGTTTTTGTCTTTTAGAAAGCTCATTTCACAACTGAAGTGTTATTTTTAGAAAACAATTTTTTCTGTTAATGTGGTAACAACAAAAACAAAAAATATATATATGAATACTATAGGAGAAATGTTAAATATTTAAAAAAATTACTCTTCATGTTTCAAATTTTGGATGGTGAGTGCCTGAAGCTCCTCATCTAAATTATCAATTTTTATAACATCCTTAACCGTCAACTGAATTTCATTGAGCATAAATATGACATGATCTCCAACCGCAATGTCTGATGAATTAGCATCCTTCAAATGAAAAAAGTATTTTCCATCAATAACTGCCATAGATTCATTTGTGAAAGTAATTTTTCCACTCAAACGTTGAGCTATTCTACTATCATCAAGAGAAAGTAAATCTAAACTCTGTTTGGAAAAACCACTTAATATGATCTCATCCTCTTCATCTTTGGAAAGCTTTTCTTCTTCAGAGACACCGAAAAAAGAAGTAAATTTATTTAACAATCCCCACATTGTAAAATAGGAAATCCTGAAACAAATGAAAAAATGATATATTCAAACACAATGTGAGTAGCGATGTCCATTTGTAGATTTATAAAATGTTACTGGTTATTTATACCTTTTATTAAGCTACTAATAATTTAATTAGGATTTTAAAATGTTTTAATAATTAATTAAATATTGATTATGAAAAAAATCACTGTTTACTTCCATCATTTGATAAAAAGCTTATCATTTTCAATAAGTACTTTGCCCTTCCATTGCACTTCTTGGATTGCAGCAATGTCTATGTAGTATCTGTCTCGTTCAGATAGGAGTAGCAGCAGCAACCCCAGTCAGAGTGGGGATAAAATTTTCCATTAACCTATATTCAAGTCCTGTTGGCGAATCACAAGATATTTTTCATTTATCAGTCCGGCTAATTCTCTTTGAGGTTCCATGTTTCATATAAATCATCACAACAAGAGGATTGAGACAGGGTGATGCCCTAGCTTGCTTACTCTTTATTCTTGCCTCAGAGAGGGTAATGAGAAAGACTGGGATAGGTAACATTTATGATATGACATATGATGGTACAGGTGCTTGGCTAAGCGGGTGATTTGGACATTGCAGGTCTTTGGAACCCTTAAAATATGCTTTCTTAACTTAATAGAAGAAGCTGTGGATATGGAGCTAATTATAAATCAAGAAAAAACTAAATATATGAGAGCGGCTCAAATGGATGATTTCATCAGGGAACCTGTCACAATTGGATCGTTCAAACTGGATGTAGGGTTGCCACCCTTAAAAATTTTGATGGCGCAACTTGCGCCATGAAACCCCTTTCTGGGCACCCTTGTCTATCTATCACCCATGATATGTAGAACAGCCAACTAACTTCCTTCAATAATAATACAACCTTGTGTTTCTCATTAAGTATCTTTACTATGTAAGTAGAGTATTACTATTTATATAAATATATTTTATAAATACTGCAGATGAAGAGGGCATTATTTATTTTGCCTTGATTGATTCAAAATTGGTCGTTAGCATAGGAAAGAAGGGGAAAAAAGCTTACACGTTACTCCTACTACCTCACGCACTTTACCATTTGACTCACTCCGACAAATTACATAGAGTACAACCCCATTAAAATTATTATAAGGTAACATCGAGATGAAAAAGCCATAACCAGAGAATAGAATGTTCACCCCACTGTGCTGCATGTGAAAATTGTAAAAACTAGCAACTTAGTAATAAGTTTATTTAAATATTTTTGTTACAATAAATTGAAAAACAAAGCCTATAAAACAAGGAAATGCTTTTCCAAATTTGGTTACACACAAATAGGAATTATTTACAAATTAAATTTATTAATGATAATGAAATTGTGAAAAATTACTTACACAAATCCCTTATCATATGAAATTAAGGCTTGTAAACTGTAATACTAAAGGCACTAGTAAGTAATACTATTTCAACTATTTGACATATTAATAATAAGCCCGGGAGTTGAGAATCCAAAGAGGTTAGTTGAATTAGAAATTCTTTGACTGAATAAGGGCGGTGTGAACTATCAGGAAGAAGCAGGGCACCCTTGCAATAGACTAGGAGCTTCTGACCATTTCATTTAACTGAAGAACTTATAGCTAATAACTATTTTAAATTATAGATAAACCCCATCTGAACACACTATTATGAATTTATCTTAATTAAATTTAACATATGTTTTTAATGCATTATAATTCAATAATAGTTTTGTATTCTATGAGTTGAATAAAATCTTATGTTAAAGGTATTCATTTTTATTTATTCAACTCATAACCAGACACTGAGCAAAATAGAAAGAATGCTCAGACCAGAACGATGCGATGCAAACTCAACTCAACTTCCGCGGGAAAACATTGGGAGCAGAGGCTCAAGAATTTTGAAAACTTTATTGCTACCGCCAATGCTACAGGAGATTAACTGAAGCTTTTATTTAACTACATATCGCCTGAAGTCTTCCAACATGTAAGTCACTCAAATACTTATGTTGAGGCAGTAGCAATTTCGAAGGATCTATATGCAAATACTATCAACGAAATATTTGCACGCTATAAGGTGAATACTTGCTTACAGCAACTTAATGAATCCCTTGATCAATACTTAGAGGCTCTTAGGCTTTTAGGGAAAGAATGTAGTTTTATTGCAGTTACAGCAGAAACTTATCGCGAAGATCTTATTAGAGGTTCGTTTATAAGTGGCCTACAATCGAATTTCATCCGTTAACGTCTACTTTACAGTATTAAGCTAACATTAAAGGAAGCTCACGAACAAACTTGAGCCCTCGAGTTAGCTCAAGTTCAGGCAAGATCTCATCAGATTTCCATAGGTTCAATGAATGCAGTGCCAGAATGGAAATCTAATAATAATGGGGAGACCGAGGGTGCTACATTTGAGTATATTAGGGAACAAAATGAGCATGCCACATCGCATTATAATATAATCTTAGCTGCAACCTCTGTCAGATGTTATTTTTGCGGTCTTAATAAACATACCCGCAGCAAATGCCCTGTGATGCTAGAAGGGATGCCATCTACTACACCTGAAATTCTTATCATATTTTCCATGACAAACTAGTCATTTTCATTTTTATCTGAAAAAATTCTAGAAATGTACCAATGCAGTAAAGGTTGTCTCCCCTCTGTCCTGTGTTTAATCGAATACGTTTATATTCAATTGTATTTTTTAAGATACTGTATTTTCAAGTAAATTTAATAAGTAAAACAAAAAAAGTAATAATAAATATCCTTACAACTAAACAAACATAATATATTTATATCATAATTAATTATTAACTATTAATATCTATATATTATGTTTATGTTATAAACAAATCAATTTTAAATGTTCAATATTCTATTTGTTTGCTTCACAAAAATTATATTGAATTTTTACACATAATAAAAACTCCCGCCATTTATTTTTCTTGGATTTGTCTTATAGCTCTAGTTCTCACCATGGCACGACACATTTATAATCCACGAAACATCCACCTAAATTTTTAAATATTGTAAATGAAGAGAATAGTTCTGTTGTGCCAGTAGTTGACACTGTTTGATTTGCAATGTTCCTGAGCTGTCAGGGATGGGAACAAGGATGTAATTATGGGATATTTCATATTCTTCATTTTAAGATAAACAAAAATTACCTTCAAAATATTATAAAACCATCTTTTTGCGTTTCCAAATTTAAATTTTTTGGTAAAGCTGGACACTATCAAAAATCTGCTTTTAGCAATAGGAAAACCTATGTTTGCTTTGTAATTAATCTACATCGCAAGCAATATTTTTTTTAATGGATCATGGATGATCTATTTTAAAGATCTCTTATATTTAGTGAATCTCTTTGAATTTCTGCGATTACAAGCCTGTCAATAACTGGCACAAGAACCAATAAAGGTCCCAGTAGCTGTCACCGATTAAATTTTGCAATTCCTTTAATAATTTAGGTTAAAACAGAGAAAACATAATCTAAAAAGACAAAATAAAACAAAAATTTTGAGTTAAACCGAAATAGTTAAAAAGTAAATGAAAAACCTGAGGTGTGATGTCCTTACTGATAGATCGTTATCCTAAAATTCTAAGTGGACTACGAGGGAATATCCTATTTTGTTAGTTATTATTTCGGTAACGGTTTTCTGCAAGATTAAAACAAAGCAGCCTAATAAACAAGGAGATAATATAGAGTCCACAAATTTATGAAATGGAGGTCTAGGAGGTCCTGAAATTTTATTATTCCAAATTGTCAAGGAGTATGTCAGGTATTAGTAAACTGTCAGCTAATGGTGCTTTTACCCTAGTTGGATGTGACAAAAATTTAGATAGTCTGTTTCTCTTCGGTTATTTATTATTTTTAGAATGCTGAATCTGAATTTTTAGTTCCCAAAAGAAGTTGTTAATTGTGTTCCGATATATATAAAAATTAATGAAATTTTCTCACATTTTTTAGTTTTTTGATCATGACTACGAAACTATGCATTTTATCAAAATTGTTATTCTATTTAAAGTTAAAGAAGATAATATCTACTATAAAATTCATAAATAGGTTTTTTTATGTAAGACCTATGGGTGAGGACAGGGTCGTCGCGTGGGCGAGGCGACTGGGACGGTCGCCATGTGTGCCGCAGATTGGTGACAAACATTAAAGGCAATTAACAGAAAATCCGATTTAAATAAGACTTGACTAAGAATATGTATAGAATAAATATAGGCAACTGAAAAAGTTCATTTAATCTATACTATTTGAGTGCTATCAGTGGGTAGTTTCTCAACAAGAGATTTCGTGTTATTTTTTATAATACAGTTGTAAATATCAATAAATAAAACATCTATAAAAAAAAAAGTGTTTGGGCAGAAGCCTCCAAAAAATATTAAATCCTGGATCCACAGTGCTTTAGAATAATACAATTGTAAGCTTTAGAGCCTCAGAGTATTATAAAATGACTAATAAATAATTAAATAGAAATAATAAAAAAATATAAGTTAACTTTTAACACTAATGAATTAAAAACAAGATAAACATTGTATATACATATTTACAAAAAAAAAACTATTTATTTTGTTTATTGTTTTGGAACTAGACTGATAAGAAGTGATTGAATAGGCGGGATTTAAAGGTGGGTAGCGTATTAGAGTGAGGGATGTAGGAGGGGATGGAATTCCATAGAGGCGAGAATCAGATAATCAAAGACCTGTCGAATACAGCGGATCGTTGGGCCATAGTTAATACGTCTGAAGACCTATATATAAATATTTATTTTGTCTACAGCTTAAAGAAACCAAAAATCCACCTATCACTTTGTTTCCAAGTTAATATCTAACAACCCTTTTGAACATTTTTCTAAGAGTGAAGTAGGGAATTATATTTTATTAATTAACTACGTGAGTAGTGAATCAGTAATTATCAATTAGTGAGACGGTACAGGAGTGAAATACCTATAAAGTTCACTTAGGGTGTGTTTGTTCAAAGCATAAGGTGGATTTGAATTAACTATAATTTAATTTAATTTGAATTTATTTTACTAATTTAATTTATATAGATACGAAACAGAAGACCTATCAATCCTAATAACACTAATGAATAATTTACATTGTTTTAGAATTTTCGCGATTGATCATACATAACAAATTATGTTTTCTTGCAAATTGTTGTAAATAAAAAAAATAATAAGTATTTGTAATAGCTCTCTTTCAAATTATGTATCTAAAGTGTTTATTTTTTATGCTAGTACTTATGGATATACTTTCCGTATGATGAAGATCTTACATCACAACTTTACTCCCCAATATTATTCAAATCCACGTACAGAACATGGTTATATTTAGGCCCCTTTCACACCGAAGATGCAAAACGCAAGATGCATGATGCATCCGAGATGTAGGAAGCATGTGCATCTTGCATCTTGATGAAAGGCCTTTCACACCAAAGATGCACGTGCCACATGCACCTTCTGTTTATATCCATCATATCTTTATTTATCTACTCTTCAGGTGACGAAATTAGAGATAATGATACAGAGCATAGCCCTGCTATTTTGTCTCAGCAATTACTTTCAGGCTTATTACTAAAGTTTCAGGCGTATCATAAAATGGAGATTTCGACTTATAATAAGTTGTTGCATCTCATGGAACACAACTTCTAATTGAAGTCTGAAAAGAAACTGGATGAGTCAAGCGTGAGATTCGGGTGAGTCAGAAGTGGGATGGGGCGGGGCGAGGTGGAAGGAGCGAGTATGCAAGATCAGCACAACAAAGGTGCACGCTGAAATCTTCAGTCGACTGGTTCTCAAGAGGCAAGTGCATCTTGCATCCAGCAAGTGTATCTTCGGTGTGAAAGCTCTCTTACACAGTATATTGTTTTAGATGCATGCGTCCTACATTCAGGATGCATCTTGCGTGTTGCACATTCGATATGAAAGGGGCCTTACAATAAGCCATGGGCGGATCTATCGGGGGGGGAGGGGAAGGCTTTCGGGCTGAAGCCCCCTTCCCCAAAATGATAAAATATAACCACGTCTTACGAAAAAAATATTTAATAATTACTTCTAAAAGTATTATTGTTCGTGTAATTACATTTAATAGTACTTAAAGAATCACTTGAACTCTATTTCATATAGGTAGTTAGTTCCTTTCTTTTTCTTCTTAAGCAATTATCGTTATATATATTTTTTAAAAATATTTCGGGCTGAAGTCTCCCCCCCAAAAACTAAATCCTGAATCGGCTAGTGCAATAAGCTATAATAATAAGTTATAAATGCCTAAAAGGCAATATTTGCTTTATTTCATTTTTTTCATCTTTGCATTACTCCTACCACAATCTCTGCGTCTAAAATGCGTCACATTGATTGAATTGGCGTTATTTACGAATTGGCGCAAATCAAGATGGATGAGCTAAATTTTGCCGCGAATTGGGTGATTTGTATTCGATGAATATAATTGATATGATAGATTTATGGCTTTCCAATCCACCAAACCCTAAACGGTTTGGTGTGCTGCGCTAACTGGCAA